TAACTTTTCCTTTAACCTAGTTTTGACATCTTCTGGGTTCCTTCAGTTAATTAATTAAGTTAAATTTTTTTTTTTTTTTTTTTTTTTTTTGTCTTTTATCTTTTTCCGTGTCTGGCAACGGATCGCAACCCTCAGTGTCGCGCCCGTACCGGACCGGGGACCAGCAACGGGATTGCAAGCCTCGGTGTTGCTCCCGCGCCTCGCTCAGCCAGTGAGCGGGAACCGGTCTGTATGTGGGATCCGAACCCTCGGGCGGGAGCGCCACCGGGCCGGCCCTTAAGTTAAATCTTAATGTGTTCATTTTATATCCGTATGAGAATCATTTTACCTTTTTGTAAACAAAGCATTTCCAAACAGTGTAAGCAGGCAAAGACTCTGAAAACTTAGCTTGTATTTTATTTTAGGCAGATATTAAAAATTAGTTAGTTATATAATAATTCTGCATAAGAATATATATATATATATAATGAGTAGTCTGTAGTTTTTTAAAAATATCATGTGAAGTGAAAAATAACTGTTAAAGCTATCATCCCTTACTTTCCTGTCTTCATCCACCTTGCTCTTCTTTTTTCCTGCCTGAAATACTCTGGAGCCTTCCTTCCCCTACCAATTCCACCTGAAAAATGGTACCAGTTCAAGGTTCATTTATTTTATTTAACAATCATTTGTTGGCTGTTAAATATGATGCAAAGCATTATGCTGACACTGTAGTGAGCAACAAAAAGAAAAAGTCCTTGCCTTCAACTGAACTTCAAATGAAAAACAATCCTTTTACTACTGTAACACATGACAAAAGATGTCAGTTCCACATCCAAAGTCATACAAAATTCAAAGTTCCCTTGACTCTTTACTTCTCTGAAAAAAGCTTATTGGATAAACTGCAAGTGAAGGAGAATGGCATTATTAAAGATAACCTTGCTATTATATTTGACTCTGAATTACATAAATGTTTGATATAATTAAATAAAATTAAATTCAAATTTTTTTAAAAACCCTAAAAAATTTGAAAGGTGAATCTAAAACACAGTAATTTAATTGCATACCCAAAATGGGATATGTCCTAAGGAATAAAACAAATTTTTTTAAAAAAAACAACTTTCAGTTGTTATTAACACTACTGGTACTGTTATTCTGAACTAATGTATATATGCATATCTACATGTATAAACATTCCTTACATATATACTATCCATACATATCATAAAGCAAGTAATTACATTAATCCAGTTAGGAACCAGGATTTTCAGCTTAAGAGAAGAAATGCAAATTCTCAACTACAAGTGTAAAGCCTTTTAATCCTAAATTTGAGTACTAATACGAATTCATGTATTTTCTCTTGAAAAATAAAACAAGAAACAAACAAAAATGTATTTCTTAGCTCTGAAAACACATAGAAACTGACTAATAAGTGGCACTGACCACCCTGAGCTCCTAGATAGTGGTTTCTAAATGCCATTTCCCACCAAGAGAACCCAGGGCTTCTTGAAAAACTTTCTGATTCCAAGTCTGAAGCAGGAAATGTACAAGATGAGTCAAACATCTTGTTATACTAGAAAGCTAGATCAAAGACTAAGGGGGTTATGTCAAAAAAAACTTAACATATAACTTGAAGTGGCTCCCAAAAGCCAAAGATGCAATAATTTGAGCATTAATGAAAATAATAATTACAGTGAACTAAATAATAAATAGATTAAAAATATGTTCATAATGATACTTTAAACAAAATTAAAAAGAAAGAAACCACTATTTATCTTTGTAGGGCACTGGAGAATCAATACATTATTCTGAAAACTGGTAAATGACAGGAAGAAAAGCAATCAAACATTCAAAATACCCTCATCTCTAAATATACTACTCTATATTAAAACATTTAAGGCATACATTTTTTTAAACATACCTTGTATCTTTTTAATTTCTGTACTTCTTCTTCAATAAGCATTTGATTTTTGGCAACTTCTGACTGAATAGCACTTAACATATTATTACCTTGATCTGTATCCATGGGTTCCTCCTTGGGGGAAGAAAAAGAAATAACATACCCTAATGATTGAGGTTTAAGTCCAGAATATTTTAAAATGATAAACATAGTATAATTATTTTCAAATTCCTACTCTTAATATTGGTAACAGAATACCAGCCTAATAACAGCAATAAAGGATAAAAGCCCTAAATACTACCTCCCATATTTCTACGTTCTATAATACAGTCATGGATCGGCCGGCCCGGTGGCGCACTGCTATAGTGCGCCGCTTGGGAAGTGCGGTGGCTCTCCCGCCGAGAGTTCGGATCCCACATACAGACCGGCTGCTCACTGGCTGAGCGAGGGGCGGGAGCAACACCGAGGGTTGCGATCCCGTGGCCGGTCCTGGTCCGGTACGGGCGCAACACTGAGGGTTGCGATCCGTCGCCAGTCATGAAAAAAGACAAAAAAAAAAAAAAAAGGAATACAGTCATGGATCACTTAATGGCAGAGATACATTCTGAGAAATGCATCATTAGACAATTCTGTCCTTGTGAGAACATCACAGAGTATACTAACACAAACCTAGATGGTATAGCCTATTGCTCCTAGGCTACAAACTCGTACAGCATGTTACTGTACTAAATACTGTAGGCAACTGTAACATGATGGTAAGTATTTGTATATCTAAACATATCTAAACATTAAAAATGAACAGTAAAAATATGGTATTATAATCTTATTGGACAGCTATCATATACGCAGTTCATCATTGACCAACACATCATTATGCAGTGCATGACTGTACATATGAATTTTTACCTAAAACAACCTATACTGTAGTATACTATATTGCTGTAATCTCCTATTAAGCTAAAATAAATTTGTTGAAATATCCTCAAGAAAATGTGATCAAAGGATTGTAAAAAAGACTTTGTCTATTATTAATTCACTTCTCCAGCCATATGTACTACAGAATGATACTCAATCATAAAGACTAGTAAACATTACATGTGAATCTAAATGTATCCAATTAACTCTTTGAGAAATACATTCTAATTTGCTTAGTTATATAATGAAATCATAGGAAACAATTAAAACAGTTCATTGCTAACAATTATTTAGCACTTACCATTTGTCAGTCATTGTTGTAAGTGGTTTACATATATCATCTCATTTAATCCTCATGACAACCTTATCAAGTAAATACTATTATCCTCATGCTTCATAAAGACTCGAGGCACAAAGAAATATACTTAAAATTAATTCATACATCCACTAAGTGGCAAAGCCAGCAACTGAATCTAAGCATCCTGAATCCAGAGTGCATTCTCTTAACTTCCAGTCAGGACACTTAATAAATCTATATTTTAAAAAAAGGTAAATACTTTCCCAAGAGAATAACTAAGCTAGAACTTTGTACTTAAAAACATGGCCACAAACCTCTGCAAGTTGTCTTTGTAACTCTGCTATCTTCTGCTCATATATCATTTTTCTGTCAGACACAATGGCCATTAAATTAAATCGAATTTCGCCTTCACTGTACCTAGAATAAAGTTATTTTAAAGTTTACAATATAATAAAGAATTACAAAACTTTTACTATTGAGATAATCCATTGTGATTACCCCATGATTCCCTGAGGTTAAAAAAAAAATCTATCAGTTGACTAACAATAAAAATTGACATTTTAAAAAAGCTTTCATATATGAAAGCTAGAGTACAAATGTAGCAAAAAAAATTAGCTAAATTTCATCAACCACAAATAGTTTTTAAATGTTCTAAAATAATGTTAGTGCCATTTAAAACATTTGAAATAACAAATTTTAAATAACGAATATTTTCATCAATTTCTCTACCATTATAATAAAAACGGCAACTTGTGTACTGAAGATCTCAGATAAAACAAACTAATACCCCACATATGTTGGGTTAATTATACTGGCACCCTGATATTAATTAATTATACTCCTTACTATATAATTGTTTTCCAAGTCATGATGTAGTTTCTACTTTTAATTAATAAACTTTTAAAGTTTTATTTATATTTTATATGTTATTACAAACAATCAAATAACATATTTATATAATATTTTTTAGTATAACATATACTTACAGCCTGTAATAAAATTTCTAAATGCTATTTGATTTTCACTACTCTGATACCAATGAAACACCTCATAGCATAAGCTTGTTTATGGCAGGGACTGACATTAAAAAAATTATCTTTAACATTATGTAAATATATTTAATCAAGATGAAAATATACACAAAATGTAAGCCCATTTTTGCATTAGTTCACCTCCTAGAGTTTCTCACACATAGCTCATTCACTGAAAAAAATATGGCCCAATTTTAACGATAGTGCTTTGAAATTATGTAAAAATGTTTTAAAAACTCTCCTTGTGGGATTTTCATGTCCCTATTCCTCCTACTAAGTAAAACTAAAAACCCTGAACATAATTTTAAAAAGAGAGAGAGAAAATTCAGAAAGGTGGAGAGAAGGTGGACAAGCTGGAGAACTCAGGGCCCGAGAATGACATGGTGATGAATTCCCTGAGCTCCCTGGGTTCTGCCTCATATATCCCAGGCTTGGAGCTGAAGAAATTAGTAACCCAGAAGTGCCAACAGGCACAGACATAAAAGCCCCAACAAAAGTCTGCTCTCTCCCTAGCTGAACGTGAAAGGGGCAGCCTCACAAGACAGACAACTTTTAGATAATAATCACTCTACTATAGCCAAACACAACTGAAAAATCTGTGACCCTTATCCCTACCAGCAAAAGTGGAGCAGGGTGCCTAGACTTCCAACCTCACCAGGCTGTAACAAAGCACCTAGAGGTTGGAGTCCAGACAGGCTGAGAAGGGAGCTGGGACTTTCATTCCCGCCAGGTGTTAATGACAACATCCATTTGAGGCATCAGAGAAGACCAAGTGGGAAGCCAAAACGGTCACTACCATCCAGTCACAAAGAAGCCCCTCCCACGTCAGTATCAGGGGAGGTCATGTGAAGAGCAATATCAAGGTACTCCTACCCATCTCGGCCAGAGTGGTATCAATGGATAACCTGTTGAGGGCCATAACTTCCACCTGTTCCCAGCAATAACAAGAAACCCCTTTCCACCTCAGGTGTCAATAAAGGCAGAGTAATGAACCTGGAATTCTGCTCCCACTTGGCAGTAATGAGGCAGTGTCCCCAATTTCCCTGACAGAGGAGTGCCATGAAAACAAGCTAAGACAGAAGCTTTAAATAGATCCAGAGTCTTATAATATCCAGAATGCTCAAGTACTATGAAAATCTCAACTTGAATGAAAAAAGACACTTGTTAGATAGTGAGATGGCAGATATTAGAATTATCTGACAAAGATTTTAGGAGAGTCATTGTAAAAATTATTCAATCAGCAATTACAAACATAATGGCAACAAATTAAAAATTAAAAGTGTCAGCAAAGAAATAGAAGATATAAAGAAGAACCAAAAAAAAAAAAGAAAAAAACCAATGGATGGGCTCAACAGCAGAATGAAGGGGGCAGAGGAAAGAATCAGTGAGCTCGAAGACAGAACAATAGAAATTACCCAATCCGAACAGAGAGAACAAGAAAATAGACTAAAAATAAATAAATAAATAGACAAAGTGTCAGGAACCTGTGGATCTAAAACAAAGGATCTAACGTTCAAGTCCTTGGAGCCCAGGAAGGGGAGGAAGAGGGTGAGGCTGAAAACTGGTATGTTTTAAATGTTTGTCCCCTCCAACACTCATGTTGAAAGTTAATTCCCAATGCAGCAGTACTGAAAGGCTGAGACTTTCAGAGGTGACTGGATCATGATGACTCTACACTCACGAACAGATTAATCCATTCATGGATTAATGGGTTAATGGATTAATGGGTTGTCATGAGAATGGTACTAGTGGCTTTGTAAGAGGAGAAAGAGATCTGAATGAGCAGGAGAACATGCTCTCAACATGTTATACCCTGTGCTACCTCAGAACTCTGCAGAGTCCTACCAGGAAGAAGGCCCTCACCAGATGCAACCCCTCAACCTTGGACTTCCAAGCCTCCAAAACTGTAAGAAATAAATAGTTTCTTTATAAATTATCCAGTTTCAGTTATTCTGTTATAAGCAACAGAAAACTGACTAAGACAAGAATATAATGGCTGAAAACTTCCAGAATTTGTCGAGATACAGACCTATAGATTTGAAAAGCTGAGCAAACTCTAAACAGGACAAACCTAAAAAAACATGCACCAAGACACATCATAGTCAAACATCTGAAAACTGATGATGAATAAAAGACCTTGAGAGCAGCATGAGAAAAACACCACCATAACCATAGGGTAAACAATTCAAATGACATTGTATTTATCATCAGAAACCATGGAGGACAAAAGGAAGTGGCCTAACATTTTTCAAGTGCTCAAGACAAGACCGTCAACCCAGAATTCTATATCCAGTGAAAATATTCCTCAGGAATGAAAGGGAAATCAAGACATTTTCAGATGAAGAAAAACTAGGAATCTATTGCTACTGGACCTCTCTAAAAGAATGGCTAATGAAAGTTTTCTAAACAGAAATGACATGACAAAAGGAGTTCTGAAACATTAGGAAGGAAGAATAATGAAAAGAGTAAAAATATTGGTAAACACAATATATTTTCCTCCTCTAAAAGGTCTCTAAATTATGTTTCATGATTGAAGCAAAAATTATAATACTATCTGATATGGTCCTAACATGTACATAAAGAAATTATTTAAGATAACTATAATATAACAGGGGACAGTAAAAGTATGTAAAGGAAGGTAAGATTTCTACATTTCATTCAAACTGGTAAAATGTGGACACCAGTAGTCTGTAATAATTTAAAGAAACTACTAAAAATGCCCTATGAAAAAATACACTCAGAAACACTACAGATAAATAAAAACGGAGTTCTAAAAAGTGTTCAGGTAACTCACAGGAAGGCACGAAAAAAATAGAAAAACAAAAATCAGAGAAAACAAAGAGAAAAAATTAAATGGCAGAACCAAATCATAACATACAATTTTATTAAACGTACATTTAATTTTATATGTAATTTTATAAGTCCATTACATTTATTGTAAATGGTCTAAATAAACGAAATAAAAGAAAGAGATTGGCAGAATGGGTTCAAAAATATGGCTCAATATATGTTGCCTAAGAAACTGATTTCAAATATATGTAAGTTAAAAAGAAAAGGGTGGAAAAACTATAACATGAATACATTCATCCAAAAAAGTAGGAGAGGCTACATTATTATCAGTTAAACTTCACAGCAAAGAGAATCACTAGAGTCAGAGAGAGACATTACATAATGATAAAAAGGTCAATCCACCAAAAAGTAATCACAAATATGCATGCACCAAACAACAGAGCTGGAAAATACATAAAGCAAAAACTAATAATACTAAAAGGAGAAAAATTCAAAACTGTCCCTTTTTGCAAATGACATGACTGCCTATGTAGGAAATGTCATGGGATGTGGGTGAGTTCAGCAAGTTCAAAGAATGCAAGATGAAGAAATGGGGAAAAAGTTAATTACAATCAATTGTATTTCTACATGCTGGTAATGATCAAATGGAAATACAATACCATTCATAATACCACTCAAAAGAATATGAAGTGTTAAACCTGACAGAACGTTTAGAAAAAATAAATTAAAAATAAAGAATATGAAGTGTTTGGGTATAAATCAGACAAAACATGTACAGGACTTGTATGCTGAAAACTACAAAAAGCTGATGAAAGAATCAGAGAAGATATAAGTAAATGCAGAGACATACCTTGTTCATGAATTGGAAGACTCACATAGGAAAGATACCAATTCTCCTCAAATTGATATAAATGTTTGACACATTTCTTATCAAAATCCCAGCAAGAAATTTTTTAGATATGGAGACTCTACTAAAATTTATTTGAGAAGGCAGAGGAACTATAACAGTTAAAACAATTTAAAAGAAAAGAATAAAGTAGGAGGTATGAGTCTACCTGATTTCAGGACTTATGGCTACAGTAATCAAGAGTGTGTAGTAGAAGCAAAGGGACAAACATATAGATCAATGAACAGAATAGTGAGTCTAGAAATAAACCCACACAAATATACCCAATTGTTTTTTTTACAAAGGTGTAGGAGCAATTCAGAGGAGGAAGGATAGCCTTTTCAACAACTGGTGCTAGAGCAACTGAATATGCATAAGCAAAAAAATGAACATTGACCTAAATGTCACACCATACATGAAAATTTACTCAAAATAAATCACAGACCTAAATATAAAACATTAAATTATGAACCCTTCATAAAAAAAACAGGAGAAAATCTCTGGGATCTAGGACCAGGCAAAGAATTCTCAGACTTGACAACAAAACGTAATTCATAGTAAGAAATACTGATAAGTTGGACTTCACTGGGATATTGCTCTGTGAGAGACCATGATGAGAGAATGAGGGGACAGGCTACAGAATGGGAAGAGAATATTTGCAGGCAATGAAATGTCTGATGAAGGACTAGTATCTAGAGTACGTAAGGAACTTCAGGGCTCAACAGTCAAAAAACCAAACAATTAATTAGAAAATAGGCGAAGGCATGAAAAGATTTTCAACATCATTAGTCACCAGAGAAATGCAGACTAAAACCACAATGAAATATCACTACATACCCATCAGAATGGTTAAAATAAAAAATTGTGACAACACCAAATACTAGCAAGGACACAGAGAAACGAATATTCATACATTGCTGGTAGGAATGTAAAATGGTTCAGCCACTCTGGAAAAGTTTGGTGGTTTCTTACAAAACCAAATATGCATTTACCACACAATCCAGTAATAACATTCCTGGGAATTTATCCCAGAGAAATAAAAACTTACATTCATCACAAAAAAAATCTATACAAAAATGTGTATTGCAGCTTTATTCATAATAGCCAAAAATGGAAATAATCCAGATGTCCTTCAATGAGTGAATAGGCAAAAAACTGGTATAACCATACCACAGAATACTACCAATCAATAAGAAAGAGTGAACTATTGATACACTTAACAACCTGAGTGAATCTCCACAGAATTATGCTGAGTGAAAAAGACTAAGGCAAAAAGGTTACATATTATATGGTTCTATTTATATCACATTCCTTAAATGACAAAAATTATAGAACTAGGTATTAAGGAATGTGGGGAAGGGAAGGAGAGGTGGCAGGGGAGGGGAGTGGTTGTGGCTATATAATGGCAACATGAGGGATCCTTGTGGTGATTGAATTTTGCCATATATTGACTATATCAATGCCAATATCCTGGCTGTCATATTGTACTATAGTTCTGCAAGATTTACCATTGCAAGGTAAAGAGTATACAACAACCAAATGTGAATATATAATTATCTCAAAATTAAAAGTTTAATACAAAAAATCCTCAAAAAATAAAACTACAAAATATCGTACAAATATCAAACAGTGCAAAATATCTAACTTAATGGAGATCTGCAAGTTTAACTTCTCCAAAGACAAGATTTCATATTACTATGTAAAATTTAGAAATTTTCTGAAATAAATTTCCTGAATGCAGTAATCTAATCAAAAGTAGATGTTTAATATACATTGCTAAAATAACAATGAAAGTTTTTTTAAAATGCTTAAAAACTGGAACGTTATGCCAATGAGATTAGCTGAGCATTTACTTTTGTATCCTTTTTTCTATGACTGGCCTCACTGCGCTGATCCAATCATCTTGATTGCATGCACCTAGAAAGAAATGTAAAAAGTTAAATAAAAATAAGAAAACTTTTAAAATAAAATAAATAAATAAAAATAAGAAAACTAAACATTATTTCAAAACATTTCCAAAGTTTGGTCTAAAATATTTCTTTTTACAAATATTTTAGCAAATTCAGGACAGAAAAATCTTTTTAGCATAACTAATAATAATCCTTATTTTCTTGGCAATGGTTAGAGGAAAGAGTGTTGTAACTTGCATCGCCATATTATTGTGTCACTTAGTAGGTGCTAAACAAATGTTTAAGAAAATAATAAACTAGGAAGTTATTTAAACTCACAATCTTATGAGATAAAGATAACCACCTTCATTTTACAGATGATGGAACTGAAGGCTGAGAAAAACCAGCCCACAAATGAGTGGCAAAATAAAAATTCAATCCTTATTTGTCTGACTCCCCATAAATTACAGCATAGATAGCAGTTGCATAGCAAAACTGTTCTGTTTTATCTTTTACTTCCTTTATATTTAATGGTTCTAATGAATAAAGAATAGCTGACCAGATAACCAGATAGAAGCCAACAGAGAAAATGCAGAGATGAGATTAACTACCATATTAGGGAAAACCAGCTTCTACAGAATTGAAAGAACATTCTACTAATTTTCTATAACAGACATATTTTTAAATATAAAGGTAGCATATAAATCTTCACTACATAAACTATTGGTTCAATACACAAGGCACGGTCAAAAAATATAAACAAAATGAACCTACATTTTGATTTTTTTAAATCTGAAAGTATAAAGTTTTATGAACAGCATACAACACTAGAGTCAACTAAAACAAGTTTTGTTGGACTTCAAACCTAATTTTAAAAAGAAAAAGAAAATGTAATGATATCGAAATTAAGATTTAGAATTCTTTTGTGGGTCTATTTTTTCAGTAATATTTCAGAACTACAGATTATACCCTCAACCTCGATAATCACTTATCATTTTTGCTCAAGGTCAGAGACAAGGTGGGATCAGGACAAATCTATCTTTTGGCACAAAGGATAGTACATTAATGCACTATCTAAATAGAAACTTTGAAGAAAAATATTTTGTAGACTGCTAAACAATGAATTAAAGTGATTCTGAATGATCCAATTTGAAATGAAAATATTTTAACACAAGATAAGAAATGCTTGCTTCCCTTATCAATAGGTTAAAAATGACAAGAATAACTTTTTAAGTTAACTAAGAGTAATTCCTAAAAGTTAACTGGAAAACAAAATACAAATTATGTAACTTATGGGTTTAAAAAAAATCTTCACTTAGAAAAAAATATCAAAGACCTCAACTAAACTTTAGTAATCAACATGTCCTTCCTATGATATTTAATTTCATAAAGTACTGAAGAGCTTTAGGCCTTCATGATATTACACTATCACCTACTCACTTTCACCTTTAAAATTTGAGCAGCACTGTGGGGATGAATATCCAGCCTCTTTTCCCTTGTCAAAAGTGAAGTATCAGGAACAGGAACCACATTACCTAAATCAATTGGTCCTTCTCTTAACCCATCTAATTCATACAGTCTTCCATTAACAGGAACATAACTGACAAAGTGAAAAGCATCTTCTTCTTTTGCTGATGTCTTTGCATCAAATTCAAACATTTGCTGTCTACAGTAAAGAAAAAAATAGTGAGAGACAAAGAAACAAACAAAGAAACAGTACTTATTTAACATAAAGTCTCTTTTACCTGGCAAAACTGTTGTGTACTTGTCGAATCACATCTGAATTGCTCAGTGCCAAACCTTTCATCTATAATAATTTTAACAAGAAGTCTATTAAAACAAGAATTATAACAAATAGGACCTTTTTAGTAAAAATTAAAAGATTGTACTCACAGCTGCATCAAAACTTTGTGAAAATTCTTTAAACTCTGATAATGTCTCTCCTAAATGGACATCTTGATGGGTACAGTTCAATAACACACTTACTATGGCTTGAGTGGCACAAGCATTATTAATTACCTACAAAATATAAAAGTGAAGGGATTATCAATTTGTATTTAAAAAAAAGTTTTTAATTGGTGACAATGACCCCCAAAATATGAATTAACAAATTTTTCAAATTTTATTTCATAGAGTCTTAGCATAAACTTAATAAACATGCTTAACTTCTATTCTAATCTATTTTCAGAGATTTGCTTCAATTCTGGAATTGAAGATTCGAGGAAAACAAATAAATTGAATGAACTCATAACATTAGTGAAATCCAATCCAGTTAGGGCAACAAGATCAATTTTCCTGTTCTAAAATATAGCTGTTTAAACCAATAGAACTTGTCCTTCCACCCTGTTCACTTCATCCTAAACTCATTTCTACCAATCCAAATTCAACCCATTTTTCAGTATCCAGCACAGCTTTAACTCACCTATGTGTCTTTTAGAGAAAATCTGCAACAAATTGTATTAGTTTCTGCCCTCATTTGAATTCCCACAAAGTGCATCTATTGTCTGCATATTTTTTTTGCTCATTCACATACAGTGTTTACAGAACTGTCATCTAGCTGTTACCTGTTAACAAATTATGTGGACCTTACACTCTAGCCAGAGAAGAAAACATTCAGATAGCATTTACCATGTGCCAGGTACTTTTCTAGACACTTCACACGCATTAATTCTTTTAATCCTCTAAACAACCTATGAAGAGAAGTAATATTATTATCCTCATTTTACATTTGTTGAAGCTGAGGCACAAAGAGGTTACATAACTTGCCCAAGGGCACATAGCTAAAGCAAGAGGCAGGTAGTCTGGCTCTAGAATCTGTGCGCTAGCCATCACGCTAGGCTGGCTCTGTGCATATACGTGGTCTCTTTGAAAAGATTATAAACAACTTATGGAGAAGGGTTTCTTCCATACTCTCTATAGCACCTAGTGTTGAGATCACAGAGTTGGGAAAGAACCACAGATGATCAGTGTGAACACCAGCAAGGTTAACTGCTGAGTTAAATGTTTTTTAAAAAAATACAGCTTAATCTTACTACTTTATTTTATTGCTATATCGTAATTAAACACCATTTTCTAATTAACCTAATAATACTACTTGGCTTATAACTTTACAATGTAGTAAATTATCTACTTTTATCCTGATTTCAGAAAATATTTTTCAATTATTTTCCCTTTTCAATTCTTATAATCCTCTACTTTTTGTGTTGCCAGAGGCTTTTAAGGTCTTATAAATTCTTAAGTTCTTAAATTTTTGACCAAAGTATGTTTGAGAAATTCCTTGAGAAGACTGCATTCTCCATCAGTGAACACTCTCTTACTCCTAATTCTCAACAAATTAAATGATAACACCACACTTTTCTAATTCTTCTATTAAAGCATTTAGTACTCAAAACCGTCTTATAATTGATGAATTAGGTAAAGTAGCAGGAGATCTAGAATACAATTAACATTACGGCTGATTTCTATTAATATATATTTTGATCTAAATCACAGTACTTTTGTAGATTTGAGTGAAATATTTTAATGATTAAAAGACACTTCATAAAGATGACTGACTAAACTTTATAATGTTTAGTGCTTCTTTATTTTGGGCTAAAATTAGCTGGGGATAGGGGTGGTAGAAGTAAAGTTAGGAGAATTCTTACTCACACCTTCTTTCAAAATCATGACACATTACAGATATAATATGTACACAATGCAGGGCTAGATGGTAAGGCAACAGCAGAAAATACTATCAAACATTTCTATGATCTAAGACTTCACATCTATAATCCATCATGTTAGGAATATTTTTTAAAAGAATTAGAAAAACATTCCTGTAGTTAATGATACTTCTCTCTTGATGTCAATTATAATTTACACTGTCCATGATATATTATAACTCATTGTTGTATGTGTGTGTTTGAGTGAAAAATAGTAATTACAATATGCATGTGTATAGAAATGTTTTAAAATGAGTTCTGTGCCAAGTGGTTATGCTATACACAGTACAGAATTACCAAAAACAAAAAACAAAAAACTTAAAAAGTGTGAAAGTGTACAGCCATTCACTCATTAAAATAAGATTTACTGAGCAACTACTATGTGCCAGACATTATGATAAATGCTGGACATACAGCAAACAAGAGATGTTGTCTTTGTCCTCAAGAAGCTTGCTTAAAAATCACCTTACATCTATTTCAGAGAACTTTAGCTCATGTTACAAAAAATCTATTACAGTATAAATTATTTACGTGGTCTCCAATTTTTTAAATCTTTAGCTTATCCCGAGTGTTCTATATACTCTATATACACATTTTTAAATAAAGTAGTAGAGTTCAACAGTAGAAACAAGGCTAGAGAAGGGGTGTCACAAGTGGGGCTGGCCCACAACCTTAAGAATTTGGTTTGAATTCCTTTGACAGGGTGTATACTCTTTAGTTCATCAGGGATCTTCCACTCCCTGTTTCTTAACATACAACACAATTCACACATTCACACTGCCAACCTGATAATGCAGGCATTTGATTTCATAATCCCTGGACTAGAGCATAATTTCTCTCAATAGCTTATACAAAAGAACATGGTAGATGCCCAAAGGAATAATATTAAAATAGCTTCAAGTACTGCATATATAAATTGTAGTCAATCTTCATTGACATAGCTGTAACAATGTAAATTAATAAAATTGCTTTTATTAATAGTCAAGGAAAAAAAGGTTGAGAATATAACTGTGGCTTCCTAAAGGGAAAGTAATACTAAGAAAAAGTATAAGATAAATGCCCTGCTCCTGAAGAATTTGGAAAGAAATACATACATGGAAAAGATGAACAACAGAAAACCAAAACAGTAAAAGAAGAAATTATTTTCTGTTTGTTTGGCAGATGGTTAGTATGGAGTTCTGGGAAGAAATTATTTTAGACTGGAGTATCAGAGGTTTCTCTATGAATGTGAAATTTTAATAGGGTTTTGAAAGCTTGGTAGGACCTTGAGAACAGAGAAGGAAATTAATTCTAAGAGGTTAGAAGCATTCAGACAAAGGAACAAACTAAGATGATATGTTCAAGAGACAAGGAGCACACTGGTTTGTATTAGTACAGTTGTAGTCATAGCATGGAGTCATTTGTTACCTTGTAAATCACTGGTCTTGAGGCATTAGGAGTTTACTCTTAGAGTAAGAGATTTTTAACAGGGAAATAACATAATAAAAATAGCACTTCTGAAATATCCAGTTTTAAGTCAACTTATAGCAAGAAGTGAAGATACCTAAAAATAGAAATAAGGGGCCGGCCCGTGGCTCACTCGGGAGAGTGTGGTGCTGATAGCACCAAGGCCGCGGGTTCGGATCCCATATAGGGACGGCCGGTTGGCTCACTTGGGAAAGCGTGGTGCTGATAACACCAAGTCAAGGGTTAAGATCCCCTTACCGGTCATCTTTAAAAAAAAAAAAAAAATAGAAATAAGATCAGTTGGGTTGCTATCCTAATGCACGTATGACATAATAAAGGGTGGTAGATTAATAAGGTAAATAAAACCACTATTATACAAATATGCACATAAGAAATCTAGGAGTCAGGAATATAACTAAAAGTAAAATAAGATTAAAAATAAGGGAATACTAACAACAACCATATGAAACAATTTTGAAAACTTAAGCTGAAACGGAGAAATTCTGAAAAATATATCTTACCAGAACCACTCAAGAAGAAATAGCCTGAACATTAAACAGAAACAGTAGTTAAATATATTCTCACAAAGGAAATACCAGGCCCAGATAGTTTCACAGGCCAATTATACCAAAGTCTAAAGAAATAGATCTTAATTTTACATAAACTCTTTAAGATAATGAAGAAAAGGAAATTCCAACTCATTTCATGAAGCCAACATAATCCTAATACTAAAACTAGTCAAAGCCATTACAAGAAAGGAAAATTAATACACATTTCATTCCTAACTATAGATGCAAAAACGCTAAAAAAAATACTGCTGTATTTAACCCAACAGGGCAGAAAAGGAGAATACATCATGACCAACTGGACTTGTGCCAGGTATGGAAGAACAATTTAATATTAGAAAAATTCATAAGCATAATTCACTGCATTGACCTATTAAAAAGGGGGAAAATAAACATAATAATCTCAATAGAGGCAGAAAAAGCATTTGAAAAAATTTAATATCCTTTTATAATAAACACACTTACCGATTAATAACAGAATGTCCTTACTTGAAAAAGAACATTAGAAAAAAAAAAAAAAAAGCCAGAGTAAATATCATACTAAATGGGGAAATGGTAGAAGCATTCCCTCTAAAGTCACAAATTGTTTTACTGGAGGTCTGAGCCAGGCGATAAGACTAAAAAAATAAATTAGAGCCAAAAGGATTAGAAAGGAAGAAATAAAACTGTCATGATTTGTAGATGTTATGGTCATTTAAACAGAAACACCCCCCCGAAAAAAACCCAGCAAACAAATTATTAGAGATAACAGAATGGTTTAACAGGATGGCTAAATATAATATTAATATATAAGAGCTAATTACATTTCTTTATACCAGCCGCAAATACCTATAAAATGTGGTTAAAGGAAGACAATTTACAATTACAATAGAGATATCAAGGAACCAGAAAGAAATCTAACAAAAGATGTTTAAGACATCTACAGAGAAAATTATGCAACATATTAAAGATATTAAAAAATTTAAATAGAGCTACATAGTATGTTTTTACTCAGTATGATGAAAATATAAACTCTCCCCCAATTGGTATATACATTCAATTCTATTCCAGTCAAAATTCCAACAGAATTTTTTATACAACCTGATGATTCTGAAATTTACATGAAGAGCATAGGACCAAAAATAACAAGGATATTTCTGAAAAAGAGCAAGGAGGGGAGACATGACCTATTATATATCAAAACTCATAAAGAAGTGAAAGGAATTAAGACAGTGTGATCATGACAAAGAGACAAATTTATCAGTGAAACAGAGTAAAGTCCAGAAAATACACACACACACACGGAATTTTGGTAAACAACAGAGGT